TCACAAAAAATGCCGAAGATCTCCACGTCCTTGGTCCCGAAACCTTGGCGAGCCATGTGCTCCATGTACTCCTCGACCGTGCATTCGAAGATTGCCGAAAAGAACTCCCGCACCTCTGTACGTGCGCTTGGGATGCGCACATAGTGGTACTCCAGCAACCAGAGCAATTCCGCTGCGGTGTTGTCTTGAGTTTCTGCTTCGAACTGCGCCAGCAACTCCGTCACCGAGTCCTGCGTGCGGCCACACAAACCTCTGCAATACTCGCAGTACTCGGTGTACATTCCCGCCGCATAACGGCGAACATCCCGGTCCGACGGGTACGGCCCCTGCTTCTGGATCAAAGGACCACGGATCGGACAGAGCAGCTGCGAGATCAGGGGTAGCGACATGGCTCGCCTCCGGAAACTTCAGCAGGGACGGATTTTCGGCCTGCGGCTACCCTTCGCGCAGCCCTCCTTCGTCGCAATTTGAACTGCTGTTACAGTCACTGAACCCGTACCAACGCTCACAGAAGCACCAAGGTCTTCACCGCTGAAGATTCTCAGACCAATGCCCATAACCAGCCATGAATTGAATCCAAACCAAGCCCCACACACTAACAGACGAGTAAGACAGGTCCTATTCTACTTATACCTGCGGAATTTCGAACGCCTGGCCTAGTTTTTTCCTTGGCCTTCTTGAATCGCCTTGCAACTCCGAGGCTCCACAAACCTCAATCACATCAAACGCCTGCCTCCCCAAACCGTATTATTTAGGGTTCGGGGCCCCTACTTTAAGGACGCGACTCCTTCCATTTGCCGCTATGGAAGCTACGGTTGAAAACGATTTGATGTCTCGAACGTCAAACGCTAACATGTCAGCCCTACATGCCACTAGGTGGAAGTTACGCGAGGACAGGCTGATAGAGTGCAGGGCGAGAGTTGAGATCGGCAGTGCAATGGAACCTAGTCGGAGGAGAGCTCATGAGGTCGCCTCCTACCCAGGGTTCGCTTCAAAAAACCGGGTTGGGATCCGCGGCAGTGCAGGCCTGATTCCATGCAGGATGAGAAGAGTCGAGAAGGGACTCGAATGAGAGACACGAAGGCAGGCAAACACGATGGCAGCCTAGGGAAGTCCCACTTCACTTTCGAGGTTCCGCTTTCTCTCTTGGATTCCACTGTGGGTCAGGGATCTTAGGGACCGAAAGAAAAACCTCCCGTGATGACTCGGTGCGAGGCAAAGCAGCATGTCGACCTTCGTCGCAGATGTGTAAATTCGAAATCAAGCCCGGCGGCATAACCCAGTCCCCAAGGGCAGAACTAGTCGGGAGCAATAATTCCGCAGCAGCTGCAATGAAGCAACGAAACAAGAAAGAGGAAGAACAGCGCTCGGCGATCCCCCTTCCGGGTCGAAGTTCACCGGATCTCACTCGGTGCTGTAAACCGTAGAGTACCACCTGCCGCTGTAACCTCCGGCCAGGTCCAATCGACGTAGCCTGTGCAGGGCGTTCTCGACCTTCTTGACGTGGGGCGGGTGCATGGCCGTCTGGTGTCGCAAAGGACAACCAAAAGCAGCGTCGTGCAGCGGCGCCCGACCGCATCCTCGTTTTTCTTGGTGGTGCTGCGTTGGTTGGTTGCAGCCGCAAGTTGGGCATCCGCAGATACAAGGATTTAAAGTTAAAGCCCCGAACACTGGTCCGAATTAGAGGCCTCATCGACTTTACAGGTAGCCAACTACTGCTGCTTACGAGAAGAGAGAGAGAGAGAGAGAGAGAGAGAGAGAGAGAGAGAGAGAGAGAGAGAGAGAGAGAGAGAGAGAGAGAGAGAGAGAGAGAGAGAGAGAGAGAGAGAGAGAGAGAGAGAGAGAGAGAGAGAGAGACAGAGAGAGAGAGAGAGAGAGAGAGAGAGAGAGAGAGAGAGAGAGAGAGAGAGAGAGAGAGAGAGAGGGAGGGATTCCTGCGGAACCTTGCTTGCTGCGTCTGCTGCGATTCTGGTTGAAGGCCCAATAGATTCGCTTAAGGAAGCCGAACGAGCCAAAAGTCAACACACTCCGAAGGAGTATCACCTCCACAACCAGAAACACAATCAAACGCAATGTTCCATAGGGTCTGGCCGCGTCGACGGCACAGCACATCGTTTCAGCAGCACAACAGCACCTCTCAGCAAGGGTAGGACCAGCAGAGCTTCGTCGAGCTTGATCTACGTGGCTTTGCTCACATTCGAGACGCCGCTAGGTGCACGTTGTCTTGCAAAACAAACACGAAGCGTCGCTGGACCACTTGCAAAATCGCAAACGAGATGACTACAGCCGGTTACCGAGCGATTGTCTTGCTGAGGAGAAGACCGGCGGGCATCTTGCGAGTCACGAGAACCTGAGCTGCAGCAAACGAACTTGGATCGCAAAGAAAATCACACCAATACACACTCGTGTTCCTGCTGTCACGTATTTTTTTGTTGCACAGCAGCCTTGCATTGCTAACTTTGCTACACCGTGCCGCCGAACTTTCGCATGACAGCGTCCATTCGGCAGCAGCGAGTGCCTCCAAGTTCAGAGACCCACAGCCTCGCCCTGGTAACTTTGCTACACCGCGCCGCCGAACTTTCGCAAGACAGCGTCCATTCGGCAGCGCACGCCTACACGCTCACAGACCCATTCGATACAAGCAGTCATCCACTACTGCACCAAGATCACCCAGGCACTCCTCAGCCCATTCACGAGCGTTCTTTCCCGACGAGAGGCAGTGCACATCGAAGTTCGGCAAGCTGGCATAGTGCCGCATGCATAGAGCGCATCCCTGACTGGCCGCGTAAAGAAATTTGTATTGGGCCTTTCGCTCTGCCGTCAACTTGCCGTGCTTCTTTTCGAAGCCAGAGCAATGAGGCGCATCCGGACAGTCAGATCCCGGACGCTCGGTCTCAGATGCAGGCCCAGGCTCATTCCGAGACGCAGGCCTTGGCTTCGGGGCGGCAAACGGCGGCTGCGTTCCGCGCCTCCCAGAGCCTGCTGCCTGCGAAGTGGTGTCATTCGCATGACTCCAGAACCCGCTGTTCGCAGAGCCGGAGGTGCCGGACGACCACGGGGGGACATCAGCGAGATTTTCGCGATACCTTTCAAGACGAGTGATTTCCCCGGTGAGAAACTTGGTGATCTCGTCCCCCGCCGAGCCGATCTTGTCGGGATGACACCGAAGCATCATCTTTTTGTACCTCTTCCTCAGGGACTTCAAGTCTACAGTCGCTGCGCATTCAGTGAAAAATCCAAGATGATAAAGAAAGTTCTTGAAAGATCCATCCATGTGCTCCGCACGCACTGCTTTCGCAAGAAAGCGTCTGCACTGCGTAAACAGAATAGCCACGATCGCACCGATCTTGAACCAGGCTGCAAGAGACTGGCATCACAAGCAGAGCATGCCCGCGAGACATGTGCGGCAAAGGCAAGGTCCACGTTGTCGTGCAAACAAAACAAACACAACGCGTCGCTAGACCACTTGCAAACTTGGAAACGGGATAACTGCAGCCCGTTACCGAGCGATTGTCTTGCTGACGAGAAGACCGGCGGGCTTCTTCTTGCGAGTCGAGACAACCTGAGCTCCAGCACAAGGGCTTGGAATGGATGCAAGAGAAGCAAGAAGCAAAGAAAATCACGGCAATACACACTCGCTTTCCTGCTGCCACACATTTTTTGTCGCACATCAGCCTTGCATTGCTAACTTTGCTACGCCGCGCCGCCGAACTTTCGCAAGACAGCGTCCATTCGGCAGCAGCGCGCTTCTCCAAACTCACATTCTTTGCAAGCAGGCCTCCACCTCTGCGGTGAGATGCCGCGCGGCCCAGCCACGAGCGTTCATCCTCGACGAGACGCAGTGCGCATCGAAGTTCGGGAGCTGCGAAGCGGTGTGATTCGCATGACTCCATGACCCGCTGTTCGCAGAGTTGGAGGCGCCAGAAAACCACGGGGGGAGATCTTTGCGATACGCCTCCAAACGAGTCATTTCCCCGGTGAGAAACTTGCAGAGCTCATTCTTTTCGCAGCCGGCCTTGTCGGGATGGCACGTAAACATTTTCGCTCTGTACTTCTTCCTCACCGTCTTGCCCTGTTTGGGCAGTGAAGTCCCACGGAGCGGAGCGCAGTTATGTTTATCCTGGTCTAGCGAAGCCAAAGGCGAAGCGCACTTGCAGTTTTCAAACATCATTGTTTAAACCAATGTTTTAACTTTCGAGATCTTTAACAGATTCCGTTGTCATGCGATTGATGCTGTTTTTAGCATCGCCTATTTGATGCTGTATTTTGCATCACGATTTCCTGCATGATGATTCGGTAGATACTTGTGCGATTTTGAATCGTGTCACCCGGCGGTGTGTTCAAGGCTGAGTTTGCCAAAATTTTTCGACCACCCACCCGCCCGACATAGTTTCAATACGGTTTTTGTGAGACTGGGGGAAGATGGTTGCTCTGTTCGGCTGCATTTGCCGTTTATCTGTTCGGCTGCTCTTGCCTTACTTCGAGGGGTTGTGCTCGCCCTCTCTCGCCATCAACCCGGTAGCAGAACCCCCGTTGCAACGGAGAACAAAAAGAAGTCCTGTCCGAGTGAAGCCTTTCCTCTTTTGCAATATGATATAGATTGCTGGACTGATTATTCCTGTGATTGGAGATTGAAAAATTTTTCCATATACTTTTATATATCTTCGATTCCTCTCATATCTGAGGATAACTTAAACTGCAAGGAGACCAGAGAAACACGAGCCAAACGAATTGTTCCCTGGAGGCCTGGGGGGGTGGGGGGGATGGCAGGGGCGCGGCGGCTCTTTCAGTTGTACGCCCGGCCACTGCGGCTTCGGACCACAGCCATGTTGTCATGCAGTCTTCAGTTCGGTCAGTTGCGTTTTTGGCTCAAGGCTGAGATTGCCAAAATTTTTCGAAGGGCTCTCTAGAGGCTTGTAGCTTTGCGTCTAACAGGCCCGAGCCCTCCGTAATCCGGTGTTGCTCTTAAGGCACCGTGCAAGAGCCCTGCTGGGGCTCGGATGGACTTCCGCCAGGCCCTTGAAGCGGGATCTTCGGCTTCTGCTTCCAGTGACACTCAAGAAGCCATTTCCCAACATTTGTACGACCTTTCGCTGCAAGTTGCTTCTCTTGAACAGCAGTTGCGTGCTGTCCGCGCAGAGCTCGGCGACATCCAGCGCGAGCTCCGGGGCCTGGAAACTGAAAGGTACCAACATTCCCTCCGCCTGGGGTGGTTGGAAAGGCTTGTGCAGCGATTGCATCAGGTGTTTCGCTCCGAGTCTTAAGCTTCTTTTGCGGGGGATGAGTGCTGAAGCTTTTTATCCGGATGAGGGGGCCGTCTCGCAGTCTGTTGAATCAGGTCAGCAGGTCCCTCTGTCTGCCATACCTGCCAGCCCAATATCTCCGAATTCGGCTGTGGTTGAGGGCACACCTGATCAGGGTCCCTTAGCGGCCTTCATGAGCAGCCCCGTCGAGGGCGATGATGTTACTGAGGAGCAACTGGGGGGCCTGATGTCTCGCGAGGACACACAACTTCCCCCTGACGACGACCCGACTGCAGGCCGTTTGGAACAGCAGCTTGCAGGCTTCATTGCCTACGGCGGCAGCGCAGGTGATTGGCATGCCATGAACTCAGGTTTCATTCTTGCAAGGCATTCCCGTCAGGCGATGCCGTGGGAAAGAGTGACGAGGCCCCGCTTGGGGCCCGGCTTCATGTTCCAGGAGCCGTTGCTAGGTCGCTTCGACGGTCTTAGGAGGGCGGCGATCCCCGCCCCTGCAGCAGGGCCGTGGGCATGGGTGCCCAAAGGAACTTACGAGGCCAGGCGACTTCTCGCAGCAAGGTTTGCCAAAAGCGATGACATGCTTAGGCTTACCGCACTAAAGAAAATTCGGCTCATCGTGCTTTTCTTCCCGGATGACTCGGAGCTTGGAAGGAACCTCGTGGGTTCTGCAGGCTCCCTGGTGGAGGAATCCATGCTGACCTCGACCATCGAGGACACTTTCTCAGGCAGAGCCGCCAGCACCCTTCTGAAGCGTGCCTCAGATTTCTCAAGGTTCGCCAAGTGGATCGTAGCTAGCAAAGGGCGCCCTCTGGCGCCTTCCGAGGGCGAGTTGTACGCTTATATGCTTCACTTGCGACGAGAGAAAGCGGGAGCCACTGCCGGCGAGTCTTTTCTCAAGGCCTATAGGTTCTTCGTGCACTTGACAGGGGCTGCGCAAGGCTCCAGGATTTCCCCTCGTGTGCAGGGAGCAGCCAAGGCGATGTCCATGGGCAAACGGCCGCTCTGGCCAGGGCTAGCATTGCAGGGTTCATTCTTTTCTGCCTCTACTCCTCGGCTCGATGGTCGGATGCGGCTCGAGGGACTGACTTGAGCATTGACGTGGCAGGTAACGGGCTTGTCCTTCTTGAGTGTTCGACAAAACATTACAAGACGAAGGCCAAGGACCGAAAGGATACCGTGCTGCCTTTGATTGCACTGGGCAGTGGCTTAACTCAGCCCTCATGGGGACGTGTCTGGATGCGCAAGAGGGCCCTGGCAGGGCTACCAGACTGTGCCGTAATCATGCCGGCCATGTCGCCGGGAGGGAACTTTCTAGGAAGGGCCATGACGGCTGCGGAGGGTTCCTTGTGGCTTCGTGAGTTTTTGCACTTGCAGGGTTTCACGGGAGATCTTGAACAGTACAGCTCGCACAGCCTGAAAGCAACCGCCTTGTCCTGGACGGCCAAGAGCGGGACCATGACCTACGAGGAGCGCCTTACCCAGGGGCATCATTGCAGTCCAAAGCACGGCATGGCTCTCCTGTACTCGAGAGATGCGCTTGCAGAAATCATAGTGAAGGTAGCCAAGGTCGTGAGTGCTGTGAGCAGGGGAGTGCTTAGTCCCGATCTCCCGCGAGCTGAGAGGGTCGCAAGAGCTCTGCATGGCGATCCAGCCGATTTTGCACATCTTCCTGAGACGACGGCTGAGGATTTGCCGGCCGAAGAGCCTCAAGATGAGAACAACTCCGAGGCTGGGTCTGACATAACTAACCTCGACGGTCTCGAAGTGGACCTGGGGGCACCGGCCCCGGAGGAGGTCCGTCCACGGCTTAGCTGCACGTTCTCGGGAGAGACCTACATGCACGTCTTGAGTGGAGTGGTGCATAAGTTGGTCAACCCCGGAATTTTTAAGTGCGGCAGGAAGGTCACGGCGAACATGCGTTTGATGGGGCCTGAGGAGGCTCAGGAGAATGTCTGCCAGCAGTGCGCAGCTTGAAGAAAAGAGGATGTGCTCAGTTGATCGTTTGCTGATTTGCGACGTCGTGCCTATGCCATTTGAGATGAGGGTGCTCGGGCCGATTGAGATCAGTGGAGTGTTTCTTGCTTCGGAGCACAAAACCGGACTGAGAAGTGTCCGCAGTCTTTTGGCTGGGAGTTGCCAAACTGGGGCGAATCTCCCGCGCGGCCTGGTGAGCACCCAGGCTTGAACTTAGCGGGAGTTTGATTGGGGGCTTTGAGATTGCAAGAACCCCCGTGGTCGGCTGCCTTTGCCGGCCTGAGTCATGAAAAATACTATTGGAACGCGACCGGCTGGGATCGCCGGTTCCCGAAGGCCGCCTGTGATCGGTGGCGAAGAAGTGTGAATCCGAGACAAACGCGACCCACGGTTGACTTCGCCGTGGGTGAGACCTCGAAACCTGTATCCTCACCTGCCCAGGTCTCATGGCCGGACTTGAATCGGTGCCTGCCTTCACCGACCGAGCAAAGCAGATCGGCATCAGCGAGGATCTTCTGACCAAGCTCCTTGCTAAGAGCTTGGACACCTTCGGCAAGCTAGCTTTCGTGTGCTCGAGCAAGCCTTCCAGCGGGGATGACACTCCTCTCTTCGAAGCCCTGAAGACTTTGATTGGGAGTGAGGTTCCAGTGGAACAACATATGGTGATCAGGCGATTGTGGTACGAGAGCCACGCCCACGCCCTGGTTGACTTGGAATCGAGGGCTTCGAGAACAAGTGATACAAGCCCCCGCGAGCTTCCGTTGGCAGAACGCCTAACACGCTTGAAACGCCAAAGGGGGGAGCTTAAAGGCCTCGAGATGGATATCCACACAGAACCTGGACACGGCCTTGTGGACCGCGTCCAGGCCATGCTCGATTCTGCACAAGTGCTGCACATCGCGCCGGAAAAGTGCATTTCCCGCCATGACGAAATCTTGGGTGAGAAGACGGAGCAAAAGATCTCTTTGGGAGCCGACGGGAACATCAAGATCACGAAGCAAGCCTCGAGTCTCCGTTGCGAGACTACCGGCGAGCTCAAGCTTCGCCGGTGCTTCCTGCGCCGGGCCTTAGCGTTCGATCAAGTAGGGCTTGCCTCCTACACTGCAATGGAGTCTTGGCACAACCGCATGTTCCAGGCTCTGCTTGATGTGCCTCCGGCGGGTTATCGCTACACTACCGTTCAGCAGCTGCTCAGAAGCTTTGGCAGGTGGTGGCCCAGGAGAGCCGAGGTGACATCGTCGTCGGGGTCGGAGCCCCGGCTCCTCTTGATAAGCACATAGCCGCTGCTGCAACCAATCAGTTTGTTTTATCCTGCCTGACCCACCTTCCTAAGCCTGCCGAGAACCAGGCCCAACCGTGGAAGCCGAATAAGGGACCCGACAAGGGCAATCAGAAGGGAGAGAAGGGTAACAAGGGCAAAGGCCGCGGCAAAGGGAAGCAGAATCACAGCCAAGGCCAGGCTGATGCATCCTCGCAACCGTCCCTGAAGGAGCTGCTGGAGTCGTTACCCGAGGGCTGCGTGCGGGCCAACGATGATGGCCGTTTCATCTGCCCGTTTTACAACAAGGGGATCTGCCGCTTCCAGAAACGCAAGTCGTGCCGCTTCGGAAAGCATGTGTGCAACTTCAAAGGGTGCGGGGCCGAAAGGCCCTACAGTGAGTGCAAGCATTGACTAGCCTTGCCCTCGCCCGAGGTTTTCGCCAGGCAAATCTTAGCTCAGAGCACACCTGTTACCGCTGAGCAAGTGATGAGGCTTTTTGATGCCTTGCCGCATGAGCAGTGCGACCGAGACGCCGAAGGGCGCTCCTTTTCGGCAGGGATGTACTCTCGAGTTAAGGTGAGCCTTCGCAAATCTTGTAGGCTTTTTCCACAGACGGTGCGAGTGGTGAACAGGTTTGTAGCCTCTTTGCTTGAAGGTGCCGTTTACACGAGTTTTGCCATTTTTGATCAGGTGTGCACTCGGCCACACCGAGATTCACAGAACGCCTTTTCTCCGAACTATGTGATCCCCTTGACCATTTTCCAAGGGGGAGCTATCCGGGTAAGCGAGCCAGATCGGACCGTGGATTTGCAAGTATCCCGCGGGCCGGTCAAATTTTGTGCCAGAGAGTTCGAGCATCGCACATTGCCAGCCACTGGGCGCCGGGTTGTCCTAGTGCTTTTTGCCTTGCAGGCCGGAGGGCGCCTCTCAGGCGCCGATCGCCGGGTCCTGCTCGATTTGGGTTTCCCCTTGCCTTCTGCTTCGCATCTTGCTTCCAAAGAGGCCTGCGCCTCGCAGCAAATTTCAGTCACGGAACAGATGAGGCAGCTTCTCCCCTTGAAGACGCCCGCATCGCCTTCAACACAGCCTGAGCCTAGAGCATCTGTGCCCACCCCCTCGGAGCTCTCCGAGACCAACTCGCCACCTTGCCAGGCACCCAGTGCCGCGCGGCCCAGTGCCGCCTCAGCTTCGTCCGGGACCTCTGAGGGCTGCAACTCCCTGTCGAAACAGGGCCCCTCTTCGGTCCCCCGTCCGCCTTTGCTTGTTGATTGCCTCGCGGAAGCGGGATCCATGTCGGCCGCCGCCATGCGGGCTGGATGGGATGCCTTGTCCCTGGGCCACAAAGGCGGTGCCCCAGAGTCCTGCCCTCGAGTACCGCTGGACCTCTCCACTGGCGATGATCTGCAAGCTTTGCTCGATTTCGACCGGAACACTTTGGTTGACTGGTGGCATTTCAATCTGTTCTTGAAATCTTGCAATCAGGGGCGTGATTCCCGAGGTCGATCCAGCCTTCGTGATGCCTCTCACTTGCTAGGGCGGGATGCCCTTCCCGCTCGTGCCGCCTCCCTGGTGCTGCGTGACAACGGCTTGGTGCAAGCCGTGGTCGACCTGCTCTTCCGAGCCTACGAAACTCGAGCCCTCGTTAGCCTGATCGCTCCGGCTCGGAGTTGGGTCTGGAGCCTCCTCGCCCATTTTGTCAAAAGGAGGCGGCATTCGGGTTTTCTGCAATGGTTCTTCGCCTTAGCTGATCAAGAGCTTGACACTTGCATGTTCGGTGCCCCCTTCTTGACCTCGCTGCGGGTCCGAGCTGAGTCCCTCTCCTTCCCAGGCCTCAGTCGGTGTTGTGAGAAGTCCCATAAACATCAACCTTGGGTTCCTCCTTCGACGGCTGGGAATTTTAGTGATGCCTCGCTTCCTGCTGAGTTATGCCAGACGCTTTGTCGGTCCGCCACTGCCGCCTGCCAAGGATTGCAGCCCCACAAGGTTGACTTCCTGCATAGCCGGCACCTTCGAGCTCAGGTGCGAGCGGCAGCGGCCAATCAGCCCACTTTTATGCCTCCCTTAATCCCTGAGTTTCGGGTTAGGGTCCCTCTGTCCCAAGTGCCGGCTGGAGCTGATTTCAAGATCCTCTCCCAAGGCCGCGGCTCTAGTGCGGGGGATTGTGATGAGCCGAATCCTTCCAAAAGGGTCCGGACGCATAAAGACGGTAAAGCCGGGGACTTGGCAGGTGTGTACTTTTCCATGGAGGAGCACCTGCATCGCGCATGTGAGCTACCTAGCCCGGCGGATAATAGCACTCGTTTGCCCGATGCCGTGCGTCGCAACATCTTTGCCATTCTTACGGAAGGCCCTGTGGCCGTGTCCAAGCGGCGGATGCTTGAACTGAAATCCTTGAATGACCGGATGGCGGCGCTTTCTGCGGCTGAGAAGGAGCTGCGAGCCAAGATGCATCCGGACGTGGAGCGAGTCACCAAAGGCAAGGCCCTAGCATTGTTTCGCGAGCTTCTTGAGGAAACGGGCTTTCCTGACTTGGCGGTGGTGAACCTCCTTTCCGAAGGAGTGCCACTGGTCGGTCAAGAAGCCGAGTCCCCTTTGTTTGCCAAACGGCCGAAGCCTAAAGACCTTGAGCCAGATCAGCTCAAAACCCAGGCCGCTCTGCGGAGGCGTGCATTGCAGAAGATGAAAGGGCTTACTTCAGAGCAGGATTACAAGGCGATGAAGGCTGAGACTTCCGAGGAGCTGGCAGCGGGCTTCCTCACGGGTCCATATCACACGGAGCAGGAAGTCAGCGACATCTTGAAGACCGACGCTTGGTCGCTTTCCCCCCGTTTCCTTTTGAGGCAGGGTGAAGACGCCAAGATAAGGATAATCGATGATTTTAAGATGTCCGCGGTCAACAAGGCTTTCGGCTCCTCTTCTTTCCTAGAGCTTCAGGATACGGATTACGCGGTCGGCCTCCTGAGGTTTCTTTCCCGCGTGCTGCAAGATCGCTCCAAGGTCCGGGTCCCCCTGTCTGATGGCACCTTGCTTGAGGGGGACTGGGATCCTGAGATGCTCCGCCAGCCCGCTCTGCTTGGTAAGACACTTGACTTGAGCAAGGCCTACCGCCAGGTGAGCATCCACCCTTCCACGAGGGAGCATGCTGTCCTTGGCTTCCCTAACCCACAGGGCAAGTGGGAGTTTTACATAGCCCAGAGCCTGCCTTTTGGTGCTGCTGCCAGCGTGTATGGGTTCAATAAAGTAGCACTTGCGATCCTTCATATCATGGTTGTCAAGTTCGCTGCGATCGCGACTGATTTTTATGACGACTACACAGTGTATGAATTTCGCCCAGCTGCTTTCTTGTTGGACAAAGTCCTGATGAGGCTGCTTGACCTGCTTGGGTGGTCCTATGCAAAGAGTGGGCGGAAATTTGTTCCCTTTGACAACAAGGTGGTCTCCTTGGGTGTTTCTTTGGGCCTTGACGAGATATGGCAGGGCACTCTCAAGGTTGAGAACAAGGCTGGACGACTTGAGAAAATTGCCGCACTCCTTCGTGCGGTAGCCCAGGGAGGAGCTGTGACGAGAAGTGATGTGGCTTCGCTTCATGGCTTGATTAACTTCGCCGGGGGTCTGATTATGGGCTTCGAGCTTAAGCCAACTTCCCGGATGCTGACACGGGCTTTGTCAGGGCCCTTCCTGGGCAACACGCCTGAGCTTCGGCAAGCTTGTGAGCTTGCTCTGGATGTCATCGCGCAGTGCAGGCCGAAGCGCTGCCCGGCTACGATTCTGCCACCTGTAGTGCTCTACACGGATGGGGCCTTCGAGAAAGGGCGAGGCACCTGGGGAGCGATTCTTGTTGATGCTTACACGAGCTCCCGATGGGTTTTCGGGGGAGAAGTTTGCAAACCGCTGATGGATCACTGGGGCAGAGAGGCTGGCGCCCAAGTGATTTGCCAGGTTGAAGCCTACGCTCTGGCGATTACCTTGTTCGGGATCCGCGGCCTCCTCAAAGGTCGCTCGGTCCTAGCTTGGATCGACAACAATGCATGCCTTTATGGATTCGTGAAGCGATACTCGCCTTCGGCTTCGCTGATGCGCCTCATCTCACTGGGGGCCTTGATGGAGAGCTCCATGGAGGCGCTTATGTGGTTTGAGCGGGTTCCCTCAAAGAGTAACCCGGCGGACCTTCCGTCGCGGGGACTGTTTGCCCAGGCCTGTGATCGGTTTCAAGCCATAAACAAGGGGGACGTGGCAGCCACCGACACGATGTTGGACTTCATTCGTGCTCCCAATTACGAGCCGAAGCTAGCCCAGGCGATTCTTTCGTCGGCTAGGCTGGAAGCCGATTGGGCTGCGGAAGCTATGCAGTGAGTTTCGATGCATCCTCCGATCGCGGGGCCGGGGGAAGATGGTTGCTCTGTTCGGCTGCATTTGCCGTTTATTTGTTCGGCTGCTCTTGCCTTACTTCGAGGGGTTGTGCTCGCCCTCTCTCGCCATCAACCCGGTAGCAGAACCCCCGTTGCAACGGAGAACAAAAAAAGAAGTCCTGTCCGAGTGAAGCCTTTCCTCTTTTGCAATATGATATAGATTGCTGGACTGATTATTCCTGTGATTGGAGATTGAAAAATTTTTCCATATACTTTTATATATCTTCGATTCCTCTCATATCTGAGGATAACTTAAACTGCAAGGAGACCAGAGAAACGTCCCACGGAGCGGAGCGCAGTTATGTTTATCCTGGTCTAGCGAAGCCAAAGGCGAAGCGCACTTGCAGTTTTCAAACATCATTGTTTAAACCAATGTTTTAACTTTCGAGATCTTTAACAGATTCCGTTGTCATGCGATTGATGCTGTTTTTAGCATCGCCTATTTGATGCTGTATTTTGCATCACGATTTCCTGCATGATGATTCGGTAGATACTTGTGCGATTTTGAATCGTGTCACCCGGCGGTGTGTTCAAGGCTGAGTTTGCCAAAATTTTTCGACCACCCACCCGCCCGACATAGTTTCAATACGGTTTTTGTGAGACTGGGGGAAGATGGTTGCTCTGTTCGGCTGCATTTGCCGTTTATCTGTTCGGCTGCTCTTGCCTTACTTCGAGGGGTTGTGCTCGCCCTCTCTCGCCATCAACCCGGTAGCAGAACCCCCGTTGCAACGGAGAACAAAAAGAAGTCCTGTCCGAGTGAAGCCTTTCCTCTTTTGCAATATGATATAGATTGCTGGACTGATTATTCCTGTGATTGGAGATTGAAAAATTTTTCCATATACTTTTATATATCTTCGATTCCTCTCATATCTGAGGATAACTTAAACTGCAAGGAGACCAGAGAAACACGAACCAAACGAATTGTTCCCTGGAGGCCTGGGGGGGTGGGGGGGATGGCAGGGGCGCGGCGGCTCTTTCAGTTGTACGCCCGGCCACTGCGGCTTCGGACCACAGCCATGTTGTCATGCAGTCTTCAGTTCGGTCAGTTGCACTTATGTTCAGTCATGTCAGACATGTCAGTGCTTGCATGTTTTTCAGTCTCTTTTAGGCATGTCAGTTTTAGTCCATTTTCAGTTGGCCTTTTTATTTGGCCACGAAACCTTTTCAGTTTTGCCTTTGACTTTTCGAACAATCTCTGGAGAGCTTTCGCGGAATCTGATCTATGCATCCGATACATCGCGGACCAATCGGGAGGGGATCTTAGAAATTTTAGTTACGGGGGGGCGCCTTTCAGGCTTCTTCGCGCAATGGCATTATATGATGGAGGATAGGCTCTGGAATCTTCTTGAAGATATCGGCTGCACTTGCGTGAGGGAGCTGCGTTTGCATTTTGATACTCCTTGGCACCTGGCCTGCTCAGTGGACAGCTTAGAGGATTCAGTGGTCCTGGCCGAGCAGATCCTTCCGTCTGCTGTGTCCTCAGACCATAAGAGAGCTGGTGCGCTTATTTGGGGCTGGCTCCGGGATCAAACTGACTTGTTGAAGCGGGTGCAAGGTAGGCTAAAGACGAAGGCTACGAGGATTGTGGCGCCTCCTTGTGGTGATGTTTCTCCTGGTGAGGTTTATGCACAATTGGTGAGCGGCAGCCTTGAATTAACGAAGCAGACCAGTCGGGCTCATGCGAGATGGATCTCGAGTGGGGCTGGTACACCAGCTGATGCTGAGAAGGCTGCTAGAAAGTTCTGGGGTACAGTCTTGGTGCAAATTATGGTGGAGGCTAAGCTTCCAATTGTGGATATTCCGGTTGAAAGTGAGGAGCAAAGGGTTCTGTATGCTTTGAGGGCCTTGGGTACCCGTCGTTCGAAGACTTTGAGGAACCGGGCACGAGCTTGGCGCAAGGCTCGGGACTGGATGCTTTCTGTGAAGTCAGTTGCTTTCCCGCGGCGTCCGAGTGACGTTGTGGACTATCTCCTCTTCTTGGAGCAGGAGGTGGGCACCAAGAGCTGTATTTCGGAGTTTATGAGCGCTCTATCTGTTCTGGAGGATGCAGGGCAGGTTCCTTTGGCCAGCCAGTTGTGCAAGGACAGATTGGTGGTTGCTGCCTCGAGGAGCTCAGAGGCAGAAGTTCATGTGGGGTCACGAGCAAGAAGCAGGCGGCCCCCTTGTCGGTGGCAATGCTGCTTTCTTTGGAGATCTTTGTGGTGTCCAGCGGGAATCCATTATATGCTAGATGCCTTATGTGGGCCTGTCTGGTGTGTGTCTGGGCTTGCATGCGTGTGTCCGATCTGCAAGGAATCGACGTTTCTAGGCTTAGGCTTTTTCGTGATGGGCTTAAGGGCTTCTTAGTCAAAACCAAGACAACCGGTCCCGACAAGAAGGTGGCTGAGGTTCCCTTCTTTGTGGGTCGGGATGTGGGGTTGTCTGGTCGTGATTGGCTGCTCTCGGGTTTCGACTTGTGGAGGGGCCTTGGGCAGCTGGACAGGACTTTCTTGGTGTTCCAATCATCCGAAAATTTTGAGGAGCCGATTTTCAAATTTGCGAAACCGGAGGTCATCAGCAATTACATGCGCTTGATCTGGCGACAGCTGAAAGTTCCTTTTCGCCAGATTGGTGAACATGTGTGGAGATCGAGGGCTGAGGGGGCCCTCCTTGGTGACGAGTGTTATTTGTTCTGGACGGGCCATAGCATGCGTCATGTTCTTCCAACCATTGCTGCTGTTCTGGAGGTTCCGAAAGAGCGGCGCGATTACTTAGGTCGCTGGCACATTGGTCTGCATCAGAGTTCTGATTACATCCATACTTGCCGTCAGATTGTGCATGACATTCAGCGCCGTGTATGCGACAAGTTGTCGGGTGGCAAACCCGGGTACGATGAGGAGGAGCTGTTTGAGGAGCTGCGCGAGTGGCTCCGCGATCGGGGTTCTGATCCTGATCCGTGGTTGAAGCTTCATGCTGTGATGCGTACCGTTGCTGGCTGCAAGGTATTGAATCAGACTTGGCCTTTACTGGCCGATTTCACCGACGGGACGGACAACGCTGCCCCGGCCCCGCCGGTTTCGAACTCCTCTCAGACTGATAAGGAATCTCCTTTCTGGGTTAGCATCAGCAGGCATTCTGGTCATCGTCGGCTGCACATTAGGAATGGCTGCTGGGTCACTCCGAGCAGTTGCCACCGCTTCGCCGAGGTTTGGGAAGCCGGACCGAATGTTGCTGATAGCTTCTGTAAGCTCTGTTATAAGGAGAAAGTGGATCCGTCCTCGAGTTCGGGGGAGTCTTCGTCGACCGAGCTCGGGGAGCCGACTGAGGATAGTGGGGCCCCCGACTTGAGTTTTCACACCTGAGATCAGACTGTCAGATTCGCGTGCCAGCGCAAAGGGGTGTCAGTTTGCCTCAGTGCTTTCAGTGCCTTTTTGCCTCGTGCTGGCTGTCAGTGCTATCAGTTGCAGTTGCGTGAGCAAATCAGATGCTTGAAATGGGCAGTTTTCTGCTCAGTACTTCACGTTGTGAAGCTCGGTCGACATTACTATACGAGCCACTCTCAGACTTTCAGTGCTCCTTTGGGGCTGTCAGATTTCATTCGTTCAGTACTGTCAGTCTTTAGCTTCGCTCGTCTCGGGGCGACAATGGCGGCCGATCCTGCGGCACAGCGTCAGTTCTTGAAAGATAACGTCGATGCCGACTTTATCTTCCTTCTGGAAGAGCATGGTGTTGACTTAGCGTTGCAGTACGCCATTGGTCAGCATTACAAGAGTATCAGGACATTTGCTGCTTTTGCCGATGATAGGGGGGCGGCTCGGACGGCCATCACCGCGGACTTCGGCGTTCAAGCTGAGAGTGCGGCAGATCGTGCTAGGATGGCATGTGTCATCACTTCTTGGGAAGCTTCCAAATTGATTCGCGAGGAGGAAGCTAAGCTTCGGGCTGAGGCTAAGGTGTTGGGGGTCCAGAAGCCCCTCGTCTCTTCCGATCGAGCGGCTATGCGAGCTGCTTTGGAGGCGGTAAGGGGCTACTCTGTTCCAGAATCTGAGGAGCCTGCGCTTGAGTACCTCGCACACAAGCTTGAGCAGATTGAGAATGGCGAGCCCGCTGCTAGTTATCTTGATGAGGGCCCAAGGGGAAGCTCCCACAGAACACTGAGGAACTCCGAGCGAAGATTCGGCTCGAGGCATCCACATGGGTGATGTTGGCCGCGAAGTGTCGCGGTCGGGCCTATTTGCAGGGATTGCAGTTGTCACATTTTGATCGTTTCTTGGAATATCTTCTGGGAGACAAGTGCTACAGTATGCAAGTCGCATCGGCGGCTCCCATGAGTTCTTCTGCACATGCTGATCGTCACACTTTGTCTGTGCCCTGGAATATCGTGCTTCAGTATGAGTTCGAGCTTCGTAAATGGGCCATCAAGGAGGCACATCGTTTGAGTGCCCCGCTGGGTGACAAGCTGCATGAGGCTACCACTAACACCGAGCTCAAGGAGCTGCATTTTACGTCTCAGGTGGCATTGTCTCGACGCTCGGCCGGAGCCGACCCTCCGCCACCAAAGTGGCCCCGCAAAGGCAAGGACGGCAAAGGGGAAAAAGGTGGCAAGGACGGCAAAGGTGGCAAGGACGGAAAGGGCAAGGCCGATGGCAAGATCAAAATCGGCGAGTCATGGTTCGATCTGGTCTCGAAAACACCGGACGGACGTGAGTTGTGTTACGCTTACAACATCAAGCGTGGGTGTCAGGTCAAGGGATGTCAGCGAGTTCACGCGTGCAGAGTCAAGGGTTGCCAGGCGAACCACCCGGCATACCAGCATGGCGCGCAGGGCGGCTCCTGACTTCGTCGTGATGAGTTTAATTCAGTTTCGGATTCCACTTCGGGTGTGCGCCCTTCGCTGCGGGTCCTCTACTTGTTTTCTGGTCCTACTCGAAAGGCGGATGTTCGCGCCTGGCTGGAGGTCCTATGCACGTCACAGAACATCATTTTGGAGATGTCCGAAGTCGACATCTGCCGTGACCCAAGTATGGATTTGCTGGACTCTGCAGTGGTTGATCGGTGCTTGCTTCAAGTCCAAAATTCGGAGTGGGACGTGGTCTTGGTGACTCCGCCCTGCAATACCTTCTCTCGGGCACGATGCGTACAGCCGGGTCCTCGGCCACTGAGATCACGTATTTACCCTGCGGGTTTTCCTTGGCTTTCAGACTCACATCGTGCTGCCGCGGATAATGGCAATCAGTTTGTTTCCTTTTCTTTTCAGATATGCACGGCTGCCCTTTCGAATTCTATTCCTTTTCTGTTGGAGCACCCTGAAGACCTGGGTATGACAACCACCGGTCACACACCGGCATCTATTTGGCAACTTCCCGAAGCTGCTGCACTTTTTACGCACGAGCAGGTCGTGACTTTTGCGATCTATCAGTGTCACTACGGAGCCCACACGCCGAAACCCACCAGGTTCCTTTCTTCTATCGCAGCCACCTTTGGCATGCGATTCATGGGACCTCCTCGTTTTGATTCTGCGGACAAGTATCTGGGGCCTCTGCCCAAGTACTGTGGCCATCGGCATTCCAATCGTCTTTTGGGTGCTGCCAACACTGCTGCTGCCGCCGCCTATCCGCCTGATTTATGCAAGGCTATCGCTTCCTGGACCTTCTCCGTCTTCGATGGGGGAGGAGGTGCACCTTCGGTGGCTACGGTTCCCGAATCTGCTCACTGTTTTCAGTTCCCGGCTAGGGAGAGGTTAAAGTGAGTTCTTCACAAGCGGAACAAATGGCTGCGGTCTGCTTGGGAAAGGGTAGGATCGCTCGGGATCAACTTCTCCGCCTCTCAGAGCTCCTGCCGGATGAGGATAGAGTCAGGCAGTCCAGCAGAGAAGTCAGTGGCCAGCGATCTTTCACGACGGGCGCTTACACCCACCAGGACAAGGTGGGGCTCAGGCGCAACATTGATGTTTTCCCTCTGGCATCGGAGCTGCTGGCACGCCTCGTGTCTTGCGGCTTCCCTGATTGCGTCTTCACTTCATTAGCATTCTTTCGTGACCTTAAGCAGCCCCCCCATAAGGACACCACGAATGGTCCATTCAACAATTTGTTGCTGGCCTGTTCGGAGTTTTCGGGAGGGGGCCTCTGGGTTCAGTCTGAGGGAGGTCCGGTTTCTCGTTTTATTAACGGCTCCTGGACGCCTGGATGCATACTGGAATGGGACGGGGGCAAGATTACCTTCGATCCCCATGTCTGGCATTGCACTGAAGATTGGAGGGGCTGCAGGCTAGTCTTGGCTGGCTATACCATTGCGAACGACGACCGACTTTCTCCTGCCGACAGGGATAAACTTGGATCTATGCACTTCGAGCTTCCGGGCAAACGTAAGAGGGGATCGGCTGATTTCTTGATCGACACGGAGGAGGTTGCGACGCTACCTGAACAGGACGACATTCCATTCAGTGAACTGAAGTCTGGTTGCGAAGGGCCACCGATGGTGGGGGATTTCGCTGGGTCCTCGGATGAGTTCGTCGATGGGTTTGGTCGCTGCTCTCCTGGTCGGTGGAAGCCATGCAACCGGGGCACGGCGATGTCCGCTGAATCCTGAGACTTTGCGCAGCGCTTGAAAGAGAGGGTCAGGATGTTCGTCGTGGAGTGTGTTCCGGACTTGGCGAAGTCGACTTTTCGTCTGGCGACGGGACACTGGAACGGGCCGCTCTTTGACCAGGGTCGCTTGGAAGAACTGAGGGAGGACTGGTTCAACATGCTTCCTGATCCCATCCGGGCTCGGGAGATGATTCCTCATCAACCCTTCTACTTGAGGGCGATTTCTCAGACGCTTCGGATTCTTGGAGACCCAGACTATCGCATCATCGAGGAGGGGAAGTTCTGCTTCGTGAACGGTGTCGAGGTGGGGCACACGGCGCCATTGGGGCCAGTGCCTCAAGTGTTCCGGATCCGCAGAAAAGATCAGAAGTACGATGAGTCAACTTGGCAGCCGTTGATGCAGAACTATCGTGATGGGGCTGAAGTCGAGAAGGCCTTGGAGGAGGCTTTCACCAAAGAGGAGGCAGAAGGACGCATGTTCCCGCTTTCTTTGGCGGAGGCGAAAACACGCTTCCCTGGTCCTGCGCTTCGCATTGCCGCTCAAGCAGTGATTCCGAAACCTGACCATGAATTCCGTGTGGTCCATGATGGGACCCACGGGGTTCACGTCAACAATGAGATTGTTATGCTTGACCGTCTTGAATCGCCTGGACCAAGGGAGATTTCTTCGATTCAGAAGCTGGGCATGGTGGCAGAAGAGAAAGTCCTGTTCGGGCTTGTGGGAGACGTGAAGAAGGCGCACAGGCGATATTTGCACCACCCAGAGCATTGGGGGGTGCTCGCTTGTAGAACGCGGAGCGATTCATCAGTCGTATGGCTTAACCGCACAGGAACTTTCGGAATTGCTTCGGCGGCCTATTGGTTCGCCCGCTTGATTGGTTTGGTGGGCCGCTTGTCTCTCAGAGTTATGCTTCAGGCTTTTGTTTTCATGCTTATTTATGCAGACGACCTACACCTGCTCAGCGGCGGTTCAGATCGATGGCTCAACCTCTGGATGTCCCTTGCCCTTTTGTGCATGCAGGGCACACCCTTCTCGGAGAAGAAGTGGCGCGGGGGACTGCAACTTGATTGGGTCGGTTACTGGATTGATTATGGCCGCTTTAAGCTTGGGATTTCGGAGAAGAGATGCCAGTGGATCATCCGATCGATTGAGGGCATGGAGGGAGACGGCTGGCTTGTGGACGTTCGCCGTTTTCACGAACTCCATGGCCGGCTAGGCTTTATGTCGCAAATCTTGATATGGATCAGACCCTTCCTCGCGCCGGGCTACGCATGGCTAGCGGTAGTCAGCAAAGGGGCGGTATTGGCACTGCCCAACTTGATCCGCTGCACCCTGCGATTCATTCTTGATCGGCTCCGCGCAGGTTCACGAACGTATCCTGCGGGGCTGGCGGATAAGGATTATGGGGAACTCTTCAGAACCGATGCTGCTTGCAACTCTGACTCTGTGGTTCTAGGCGGTTGGTTCCTTGTCAGGGGTGTTGTCTGTAAATCCGCTCCTTGGTTTCAGATTACGCTTCGTCGCGAAGAAGCCCCTTGGCTCTTCAAGGAAGGTCTTGGGAGCTCCTGGGCCAGTACCTCTGCTGAACTGCTATCCTCGCTGGTAGCGCTTCATCTGCTGGAGAGGGATTTTCCCGAGGTGTTTTCATGTCCTGGCTCTTTCAGGGCTTGCTTCGCTGGTGGAACAGACAACAAGTCGGCGGATGCCATTTCTGCCAGACTTCTCACGACAAAGGTCCCTGTGATGTTTGTGCTGATGGAATACGCTCACCGTTGCGACTTGGCCGGGGTCAGATGTCTCTTGAACTGGAGGCCGCGTGATGCGAATCAGGAGGCAGATAGGATCACGAAGAATGATTTCTCAGATTTCTGTCCGGACCTTCGGGTCACTGTCAGCTGGAGTGAGTTGAACTTCTCAGTGCTTCCGTCTTTACTTCGATTCGCGAACTTTCAGAGCACTCTGGAGGATGCGCGTGCCTCTGCTTCTGGCGAAGGACAATCTCCTTCTCGCATTCGTTTCGAGAAGAGTCAGTGGGGCTGAGGCACATGACGATGCCTCTTCGTTGAGTGGGGATTGATGCTTTCGGCATCGTCTCCCAAAAGTTTCATATGCATGACTGGTATGGGCTGTGCGATCCAAAACATGTCGTTGCGCGTTCTTGCTTTCCATCCCCAACATCCTGAACCCCAAACTCCTGAACCTCTGAACTTTTAGCCCTTCGGGCTGCCGGAATGTTCAACTACGCCTCCAGGGTACAAGCCCTGTTTGGGCAGTGAAACGAACCAAACGAATTGTTCCCTGGAGGCCTGTGGGGGTGGGGGGGATGGCAGGGGCGCGGCGGCTCTTTCAGTTGTACGCCCGGCCACTGCGGCTTCGGACCACAGCCATGTTGTCATGCAGTCTTCAGTTCGGTCAGTTGCACTTATGTTCAGTCATGTCAGACATGTCAGTGCTTGCATGTTTTTCAGTCTCTTTTAGGCATGTCAGTTTTAGTGCATTTTCAGTTGGCCTTTTTCTTTGGCCACGAAACCTTTTCAGTTTTGCCTTTGACTTTTCGAACAATCTCTGGAGAGCTTTCGCGGAATCTGATCTATGCATCCGATACATCGCGGACCAATCGGGAGGGGATCTTAGAAATTTTAGTTACCCACCCTACCCGCCCTTTTAGATCTCGTTTTCAGGACTGTTCAAAACAGCCCATACATACATGGGGATTGATGCTTTCGGCATCGTCTCCCAAAAGTTTCATATGCATGACTGGTATGGGCTGTGCGATCCAAAACATGTCGTTGCGCGTTCTTGCTTTCCATCCCCAACATCCTGAACCCCAAACTCCTGAACCTCTGAACTTTTAGCCCTTCGGGCTTTTGGAATGTTTAACTACGCCTCCAGGGTACAACATGTCTACATTCTCTGCGCGTTCAGTAGACAAATCAAGAAGTTCAAAAAATTTCTCGAAGGATCCAGCCATGTGCTCCGCACACAGTGCTTTCGCAAGACAGCGTCTGCACTGCGTAAACAAAATAACTACAATCGCACCGATCTTGAACCAGGCTGCAAGAGACTGGCATCATGCGTAGAGCATGCCCGACGTGCAGCACAAGCGACCAAAACTCCGAGTAAGGCCCGTGCAGCAAGGACTGGATGGTGATCGCCGAAGAACAGGAAACTGCGCAGCAAAGAAAAGCAAACAACATCGATGCACTCCGTTGCTCCCTCACGCTCACTCAGCAGCTTTTGCACACTTCGTCAGTGCAATCAGGGCTCCGTGCAGAGGCTACATATACATAGCCCACCGACAGAATGCAGCTTTCGCAAGACAGCGTCCACTGCTCCGCACGGGGACGCCGTGGGCTATATATGTATATATATATATATGTATATATATATATACATATATATATATATATATATATATGTATACAGCCCACGGGCAGAATGCAGCTTTCGCAAGACAGCGTCCACTGCTCCGCGCAGGGAGGCTACATATCTCATGTATAGCCCACGCTCGTAGTGCAGCTTTCGCAAGACAGCGTCCATTGCTCCGCACGAGGACAAGACTGCACGACCTTTAGTCAACTCTACTCCTACGTGCGTCTCTGTCGCTGAAATACAATCATGAGTTCGAGTTCCGTCTTCAGCATCTCCTTCATGAGATCCGTCGCGTGGATGGTGTTCACGGAAACGATCTTATCCCCTTTCTGCACCCGCCGCAAACGACGCGACGACGAGGAAGGCATCGACTCCATGAGTGCATTGTGCGTGTCAACAAGCCCATCTGGCACGACTTCAAACACCTCCATGGTGCGAGTGACGAATTTCAGTCCGATCTTACTCTCTCTGCTGTCACGATGAAGCATCACCATAAATTCTTTCTTATCGGTCCGCCATCCACCAGGCGGGGGTGGAGGCGCAGGACGACGACCGCCTCCTTGATCGGCACCACGATTGCACAAGGCAGCCACACGCTCTCTGACGATTTCATTGCCAGGACACGGCTGCCGCCACATCGTGTAATGCACGTCAAGGCGGTGATTGGATCCGCGCAAGCAGCCCCACCATTCAGGCCAAACGCTGCAGAAGTGTGCACAGGTGTAGCTAGCGGCAGCAACATAAAACTGCTCAGACTCGACAACGCACTGACCACACGAAGCAAATCAACATGCTATTCTCCTCGAGACTCACAAGTAGAATACTTGACAGGATATCTAGACACAGAAAGACAATTGCACATCGCCAGATAAGATCGGCAGCTGTGCCTTCTCCTCGCACCGAGGCAGCAACTTTTGGACCTCATGCAGAGAACTGCACACATAGCACACGAAAACACGCATTTCGCTCGTGCGCAGACGCGTATGCTTTTTATCATGGCCACGCTAGCCGTGCGAAATAGGTTCCGCCGCGCCGCCGCACTTTCGCAAGACGGCGTCCATGCGGCGGCTTGCGGCAACCGGAGGCACACTCGGTCGTTAAAAAAAACAGCACGCTAAGCCCCACCAGCAGCTCAGGCACTCTGCCAGTTTTCGGAAAGAGTATATAGCAGTGTGCCGTCATCGGAGCGCAATTCGGCACGAAGTGGCATGTGGAGACGATACCACTGGGTCCGCTCGGGCGTCTTCTCCAACAGTTGCTTTTCCTTAGCGACACTTTATTTTCACCAAAACAAAAGCGCATGCTGTCGTGTCCCTGCAATTCACACGTTTTTGCAAGATACCACCAGCGTCAGGTAGCCGATCGCCGTGAAGGTCAGCTCATGCGCTCTCACGGAATGCGGGTCACCGCCAAGCGCCCACTCCCCTCCCTGCCAGGTCATACAGTCGCTCTCCGTGCAGCGCTGCATGGCCTCCGAACGACAGCAACTGAAACAATGCCTTAACACTTATCGCTGTGCTACATCACCGCCGAGGCGCTGAGACTGCGTCGGGACGCAATCCCCAGCGACCCCTGTGCGTACCCGCCACTTGCTCTCCGCGCAGGACTCGAGCCGACTGGTCGGCTGTCAGACCTACGAAAACACGCAGTTCCTGCATGGCGTGAATTGCCATGCTGTGCTTTCGCAAGACGGCGTCTGCACGGCCCACAAACAGATCAAGGCTGCTATTGTGCTGATGTCGAAACAGGCTGCGCGAGAGTGACATCACATGCAGGGCAGAGTATGATGCGACACATGCTGGCCTGAGACAGCCGAGGCTCTGAACAAATCCACATAAGGTCCCCGCGCGAATGCGCGGATGGCGGTTCCCGTGGAGTCCTTGCGCTTGCAAGACGACATGCATCCGAGTTTCTCGACGATGATTTCTGTTAAGAGCACAACACCGCACACAACCCGCAACTGGGTTCGTAACCTTCGGCCGCAACGCAGAAGATGCCTGATCGGATTCCGGGGTGTTCGAGGGGGAGGGGGGGGGGCCTTGAAGCCTTCAAATGTGGGGAGTAGCTGCTTTCCAATGCTACAGGAGAAGAAACTAAGGGTCGGGGAGGCAGCCTCTGCTGTTTTGGTTGTTGTAAACATTGCACACATACCAAAACAGATAACAACATAAACACTGCTGGCAAGACGACGGTGGCAACTTAAATTACCCTAAGTCAGACCTAAACCTGATATAAGCGAGCCGGCAGTCGACACATCCTGCCACGCCGCTGTGGCAGATTGCTGGCATGAGGCGGAGGAAGGTCCAGGCTAAAACCCAAACATCGGGCTGTTGGGGATTTTGGATGCCACCGTGTCTAGAGCCAGCCTCAAAAGAAATACGGCTAGAGCAACCATGCACAGCTCAGTCAGTAGGGCTTAGACGAGGTGTTATCTAAGGTCTAGCTGGGGGCACGAATTGCGCATGCACGATGTGCTCTCTTTCCCTCCACGATGTTTGACAGCTTTGTAAAGCTCGCAATGCCAGAAGTCGTCGATTATTCCGAGACCGAATGCCACGCCTGTCTCGTAACGTTTTCTGGAAGCTGTTCCACACTCAATTGAAGCGACGTCTCTACGAGAGCTGCAACGCCATAAGCCAATCCAACTCACGGCCAGATTTCGGACACGCTGAAAAACAGCGAACCACCGAAGACTGTTTCCTTCAGCCGGACCAATTGGACGGTGATTCGACCACGCTTAGTCTCTGCCGGCAAGCACCTAGCCCAACCACCCCAAGGCCCTGTAAAGCACCCTGCGAAATTCACCCATGCACCAAATCTTTAAACCCAAAGCCCCGAACGAAATGCCAAAGCATACCGCACGGCATTTGGCCCGAATACCACAATGCCCGAATCCCCCCAGCCCTAAAGCACCAAGGTACCGATCATACAAGCCACAAAGCAACCAACCATACTTACCGAACCCCGAGCAGCTGAATTCATAAGCCCAGACGAAGACAACCCCCGCAGCACCCAGCCCCAATGCCTCTGATGGAGCCTGGTCCAAGTCCTAGACCCCCGCTGCCCGAACCCCCGGCCTTTCGATTCGAAGCTTCGATTCAAGAACAAAAAAACCTCTGGAATGCTGGCAAACAGTCGTGGCAGGAGGAGGGGAAGGTCAGACCGCTCGGCAACAAGACTTGGACTGGCTTGATACAACTCAACACTTGTTCTGCGGTCGATCTAAGCGCATCTCGGCTGGCTTCCCAGTGCACGGGGAAAGTCGACGCCGACGGCTCCTCAACCCTTCGTCGGCGCCACTCAGTCGATAGTTCTCGACTAACGGCTGAGCGCGGGTACCGCCGCCGAATGGACGCTGTCTTGCGAAAGTTCGGTGACGCGCGGCCGGCCGTCGAATGGACGCTGTCTTGCGAAAGTTCGTCGGGGCAGAGCCGGAGTTTTCTTTTCACTCATGCGAAAGTTCGGCGACGCACAGAATTGTGGTGAAAATGCGAAGCAGTAGCTTGGATCAGGAATGCAGTACATTGTCTCAGGTTCCTCTCTCACTCTCCTATTGCGGTGCGACGTTGCTTGATTGAGATTTGAATGAGTTGCATTCCGGTCGCCGGCGCGAGATACTAGAAGTGTGCATGACTGTCGCAGGGCAAGTACCTTGTTGCCCAGGCGCGGGAACTGAGACCAGCGATCTCGACCACTAGCTCGACTGTGGAGGCCTGGGCCGTGGCATGTCGAAGTTACAGAAAGAGAGAGAGAGAGAGAGAGAGAGAGAGAGAGAGAGAGAGAGAGAGAGAGAGAGAGAGAGAGAGAGAGAGAGAGAGAGAGAGAGAGAGAGAGTCTGCGTAGAGTCTCCAGCATTCTCTTGGGGTTTCACCAGCTTCTCCACTTAATCCCGCGGGTAGCGATTCTGTGCACAGTCAGTCGAATCGGGCCATGTCGCTTCCTTTGAGTTTTCTGATCGATGAGTCTGTCACTTCTTTCACGGCGGAATCGGATGCGCGCACGGGGCAACCGACACTCTCGGCCTGCTTTAGCATGGTCTTGAAAATCGAGATTCCTGCATTGCTGGAGCTGCTATCCAAGACGGCAGCGGCGGAGAAATCCTTGAACAAGTCTGCAAATCAAATGGCGTCAAGCCGTGGAGCCTCTGAGACGGATGAGACCCGTCCGCCTATAAGGCTGAAACCGTCCTGTCCCCCAACGGCAAAAGTCATGGTGGACGAGTTTTCCAAACGGCCGACGCTCAGGGTGCAGAGCCACTTCAACTTGGATATGGACATGGCCGGACTCGTTGAGCTGCTCGCCCGCTTGGCAGGTCTCGCCGGGCAGCCGGAGAAGGCATCCTCTTCCGGGCTGACAGGTAAGACAATTTCTGCCGGTGATGCGAGCAAGGCCAAGTCGTCTGATGATTTCAAAGTTCGCCACGCTAAAAACCTGAGATTTTGGGAGCAGCCCATTCAGGAATTTCATGCGGAACTTCATGCGAAGTATCACGAAGCCTTCAAGTGGAGCAGTGCAGAGTTCGAGGGCGAGCAGCCTGTCTTTGTCATGTCTCGAGAGCAACAGGGCATATTCCGGAATTTGGTCTTCGATCCGCTTGAACTGCCTGAACGTCAAGGAGTGACTCATGCCAACTACAAGGACGCGGACTCGAAACGTTTTCCGCTGCCTGAAGAGGAGGAAATGCAAGGTGGGGCGGCTGAGATAGGCTTGCATTCGCTTGGTTCTGTGAGTGCTAAAGACGAGGGGGCGGATTTAGAGAAGAGCAGGCATTCGAACATTGGCAGGAGGCCCCGGGAACATGAAGAGGGAAGGCTATATCCTTCGAGTCCTGGTTGCAAACAACAGTAATTGTGCTCATTGCATGCCGCCGAATGGACACCGTCTTGCGAAAGTTCGGCGGCGCTGCTGCCGGCCGTCGGTGCAAATGACTTGGAGGACATGGAAATTGGGGACGGTGTCCTGTGTGCAGCGAAAGCTGCTTTGGTTCGCTTGTGGCGACATGAGGTTGCCGAGAATCACCCAGAGCTCACTCAACGACAGCTGGGGGGGAGACAGGGCGCCTATCTGCGCGGTCTGGCATAGTTCTCCTGGCTCGATACGTTGGACGAAGCTCGGCGTCGTTTGGGCCTAGCCGCATGGAAGCGCTGGGTGGAACAGGTTCGGATTATGCAAAGGCCGCGCGATCCATAAATGAGCACGGTTGTCTTGGCTCGCTAGCCGGGCAACGGAGGTAGTCTTGCGAGAGTTAGGTGCTGCGGAACCGCATGGACGCTGTCTTGCGAAAGCGCGGGGCTGCGGTCACCTCGTGGCCGACGCGCTGATTCCTCGCAGGACTGGCTGCGCTTGCTGCGGCACTGATAAAATGCATTTGTTTTAGCACATGAGCGAAAAAACATGTCGCTGTGTTCGAATGTAGCTTACAGGGTTGCGTCGTTGGATTGAGGTACGTTGCAGAAAGCCGCATCCACGTCCTGTGTTGTCGCAAGGGCCTTATCAGCGAGATCGATGCTATAGTGTGTGTGGAAGGGGCAGCGGGCAGAGGGTGTCAAAGTTCCCGCGCAGGTGTTCTGACTCGAGTGCAAACGAGTGTGAGTCGCCATGGACCCGTGCATGTCGAGCTCGTGGTCGTGGTACGAAATTCGTCGTGAGGGCTACGGATCGTTCTCCGACCGATCCTGGTACGCTGAGAAGGACAAGGACGCAACAGTCACCTGGTGCCATGGGGAGAAACGCAAGGACGTGGTGACACCCACTTGGTCCACTTCTGAAGAGTTTAAGGGAAAGGCCTCCACCGTGCTGACTTCCCAAGAAAACGATGGCTGGCAGAAGTGGACATGGCAAGATTCGTCGTGGTCAGCCGATGGAAACAATGGCTGGGAGGACTCGACATGGCAAGATTCGTCTTGGTGGTCATGGAATGATCCAAAGGATGCACCCGCTCGAGTGAAGTCATGTGCTGCCGGACACCGGGATGCGGCCGCCTCGAAGGAGTTGGAGGTTGTGGAGATCAGCAGCCATGATTCCTCAGAAAAGTGGGGACAGCGGGGACGAAAGTGGAGCGACCCATCAGGTGCGTCCTGGCATTCAAGGGATTCCTGGTCGCGATGGGCCTCGAAGTCTCGAGAGGCACCAGTGCAAGCTCGAGAAGCAGAGTGCAAGAGATACAAGTATGATCCGACCACCTCCAGGGGCAGGAGCAACCACGACGAGTACGATTTCGTGCGGACTTCTCATCCTCCGGCGTTTCTTCTTCGTTTTCCCACACCCATCTGGGCTGAGCCGCAACCACTTTTTGCCACGCCCTCAGATATTGTCCCCGGAGAACTCCTCGACCCAAGTCAGCGATCTCTGCCGCATCCAGCCCG